TATATATAATAATGATTTTATATATATATAATAATGATAATGAATAAAATTAAATACAAAATAATTCTTTAAAACAAAAGAGTCTATAAGGGATACAATCCTATCCTAGACCACATGTGGATTCAGTGAAAATAGACTCCAGAAGAGCTGCCATCAAGCATTGAAACCAAAGAACGATGCGATGAACACAAAGGCCAAGGGAAGCAGAACTCCTCATGAAAGGAGGAAGCAGGAAAAACAGTGACTCGAGAAAAAAAAACAGAGCTGCCCAGAGTTTCAGTCTGAATGTCACATCTTGAATGTGGACACACAAAACTTGAAACTAAAGACATGCTTAAAGGTCTCATCAGTTGTACTTGTAATCAGCTCTTCATTCTCTTAGCATGAGGGGCTCAGCCAAAGGATTTCAAGCAGGGGAGCATCATATACAGATTTGCATTTCTAAAAATAAATAAACAAATCTTATGACAAAGTAAAAATTAATTTCCAAATTTTATCCCAAACAGGTAAGCACATGCCTTCCTCATGTCTAAAGTTGAAATCTCCCAGAATTGCTGCCCACTCTTCATCTTGTCTGGTTTAGAAACTGACACCTCCCATTCCCCAGCCCTCTGTCCCATAGACTGTAGCCTTCCAGAATCTCTCCTACCTGTCCCATCTCCACCACCCTCACAGGCCTCATCTCTTCTAGCCTAGCTTGCCTTTCAGTCTCCTAACTGACCTCCCTACCTCAGTGTCTTTTTTTCTGTTGGTTCTGACTTAACACAGCAATGTCTGACCAGACTTCCTTAGGATCACCTAGGGGAACTTGCAAAAAAAAAAAAAATACAAGTCTCAGGCCTATTGTACTTAATCTGAACAAGTTTAAAAGCTCCCCAGGCAAGTCTGAGGCCCTGCCAGGTTTGCAAATCACTACTCTAAATCCTTGCTAGAGATAGTGAAATTATCTGTACCTTCCAGGGCATCAGTTAGAAATGCAGAATGTCAGGTCCCATTCCTGACACACTGAATCAGAATCTGCATTTGAATGAAATCCCCAGGTGATTCTCATACTATGATAGTTAAGATTGTTAAAGTTTGAGAAGCTCTTCTGAAGAGTTTGGGTTCAGCTTGGTAGTATATTGAATTGCAGTGCTGGAAGTCACATGACCAACCACAGGTTCGAATCTCTACCTAGTCAACCTGAAACACCATGTCTGTGCATACATGATCAAGCTCCCACCTGCTAAAGGGGATTGCAGTGAGACCCGATCCTACTGTGGGTGCTCCTCTTTCTCTCTCTATCGTGTGCATGCACACATATCACTGTATCGTGAATAAAATAAACTTTAAAAAAATATGGGCCAGGTGGTGGTGCAGCATTAATACAGCTGGACTTACATGGGAAAGGTCCTAGGTTCACATCGTGCGACCACCCTGAGTACACAGCCAGGCTTGATCCAGGCCAGCAGGGACTTGGGGTGAGTCATTGCATGAGGATCCTGTTGGGGGTACTGCCTCTGTCTCTTTCTCTCTCTCTCATGGAAGAAATAAATAAATAAATCTTTAAAAGTAAATAGAGTGCTACTGACCATTCAGTCCACAAATAGTTACTGGATTTTCTCTGTATCATGCTGAGAGTTGGAAAGGCCAAGGGCCAAGGTCTCTGACTTTGAGAAGTTCACACAACTATCAGTCAAACCCGTGCTTAAAACACCCTTCATCTGTTACAACACTGGCTCCCAAGCCTTCGGACAAAGTCCAGATTCTGTGCCTGGCCTTCATGACCTAGTGGGACCATGTTTCATCCTTGTCACCAGCATTTTTGTCTATACTCGCCATAGGAACAAAGCTGCACTACTGGGTACTTTCTCACGGCTAGCGGTGCTTGCCTGCCTACACAGCTTTCGCAGCCCAGGTCCCCCTCTACCCACCTCTGCCTGGAAAAAACCAGAAGCCCTTGAGATCTATCACATACATCGCTCCTTCCTGAAAGTACCCTAGATTTGCCCTGCTCTGATCAAAGACAATTCCAACACCCTGGACTAGCCCCACAGCACAGTGGTAAGAACATGGCTGACTGGTTCAAACCCAGGCCCAGAAGCTTAAGAAACACACCAGGTACTTATGCATGTGTACCCAAAATCTCAGAATGAAGAAATGAAGGAGAAGGGATTGTGTCTTGACCCACACCCCACAGGTGGGGTGTTCTTTCTACCTCTCTCTCTTTCTCTCTCTCTCTGTCTTTCTATCTCTCTGTCTCTCTATGGCAATAAAAAGAAAGAGAGAAAGAAAGACAGAACCCCATAACTTAAATCTCATTCCACTTGGTCTTAAGGTCTCAGCCACCCATCTCAACTACCCCAGTAGAGATGGTAATACTCAGAGATGGTAATACTCTCTCCAATAATGACATTAACTGGCACATCACCAAGCCTCAAAGTAATACTACTAATAATTCAAATATGTTAAATAAAATCACAGATGCGCACAGGAAGTGAAAAACTCATCAGTCTCCTTCACCTCCTACTTCAGTCATTTAAATAAGAATTTAAGGAGAATACCAATGGGCTGTCTCTCTTATGCCCAAGAGAGAAATAAAGTCTAAACTGAATAACATTTAGTGTTTTCCATACACCAATAATAATCAAAGACTGAGCATGCTGAAGATGAATTATGTCCTCAGCCAACTAGCTTTCTGCTGTTGAGCATTTACCTTCAGAAATTACACCTTCAGATGTAAATTTTTTTTTGGGGGGGGAGAGGTTTTTGCGATAGGGCGCATGTGCTCGCCAGACAGACAGGGAGAGACAGAGAGACAGAAAGCGAGAAATTACCCCCCAGGGGGGATGGCCACGCTGCAATCCCTTCTCCTCCATTCTCCTCTCGAGATCTTGGGCATGCACGCACACGTGCCCAGCGTGAGTTTTAAGTCACTGGGTCCGGGACGCGAACCGCAGTCGACTACATGGGAGTCCAGCGACATAGTCATTACACTAACTGCTGGTCCCCAGATGTAAAATTTTTAAAGAATTGTTTATTTAATTTTATTATTATTATTTATTTGCTATAGGGCACATGCACTCACCAGAGAGAGACAAGAGAGAAAGCGAGCAAGCAAGCCGCCAGGTCTGCCATGTGGAAGTCCAGAGTCTTAACCACCATGCCACCTGCTGCTCCCTCCCCCCACCCCTTTGTACATTATAATTAATTAAGGAAAAGCTGAGGAAAGACGGAGATGAAGACAAAAAAAAAACAAAACCAGGAAATCTATCAAAATATAGAAAAGGAGATCGATCTATATCAAATATCCAGCTGCTCTAAAAAAAATATAATTGGAATTTTAAAAAGAGGATTAAGCCCTGGCTAGAATGTCTGCTTCGATGCTACCCAAACTTTAAACGTTCTGGTCTTATATAATCTTATTTTCATCTAAGGAAAAACTGCAGGTCTGGAGTCGGAACATCACAAGCAGAGGAGGAACCCACTTTCAAATAGGACCACCCCACCTGGCAGTCTATTGGGACCCCGCGGAGTGCGATTTTGAAAGGCACGTTGCAGTTTTGCAATGACAGCATAGAAGCAGTCCGGGCCGAGGCGCTGCGCTGCCTCAGGACCCAGGCTTAATCAGACTTCTCCTGAGAGAACGCTCGCAGCACGCGCACCACCTTGCGCTTCCTAGTTTGCGCCTCAGCTCGGGGGCCAAGCACAGCTCCGTCATCCGCGCACAGAACTCTGTGGTAAGCGAGCTCCCTGCGCATCTGCAGCGCCATCCCCGCACTTGTAGGAGCGCAGACTGCCGGCGGAGCCCAAGCAGGGCGGGGTGGTGGTACGGAGCAGATCCACAGCACTTACAGCCTCTCTGTCTTCGGTCCCTTGCGCCTGGGACCGGCTCCGGGGCCCAGAGGCTCTGACCCCTTCTCCCCGCGAGGTTCTGGGCTCCTGGGTTCTCCTTTCCCCAGGCAAAGACCTGTCGGGGACCCCAGTCTCCACCGCGCGGCAAGCCCGCGAGCATGCGGGGAGCCCACTGACCTGGACTCCGGGCCGCGGATCCTCGCCGAGCAGCTCAGGTGTGCGGGCCGCTCCCGTGTCCCTCCCACCTCCGGACATATAGCCGAGGACCGAGCCACGAGCCACTGGCCCACCAACTAACTGACGGGCCAACCAGCGCACTGAGCGGCAGCGGCCCGTCCGGCGCCCACGTGACGGGGGCGGGGACCACGGGAGGCTGGCCCTGGAGGGCCCTTTCCCCACCCTGGGACCTACCCCTGGAACCGCCCCTCCGCTACCCTTCCTTTACCTACACCACTGCGGCTGACTGGGACAGTTCCTCTGCGTTCCTGTTCCCCCGGGACCTGCCCCGTCAACCCCGCCCCTTCGAGCTTTCTCCCCGCCCCCCGGGCGGAGCTTCGAGGGCCGACCCGAGCTCCGCCTCTCCAGGCAGGCCACGCCCCCTGGGAGGCCCTCCCAGCTCCTTTACCTTATTCTCCTCCCACACCCTTCCCACGCAGGCAGCCCTCCGCGAAGGTCCCAGCGGCCGGGCTCCCAAGCTCCTGGGCTTCTCCAGGCTGTCAGCACCGTTTCTGAGCTCCAGGGAGTGAAACGAGTTGGGAGAAACTTGGGTCAAGAATTGCAAAGAGAGGAAAGCCCTATAAAGGCCGTGTTAGAGGCGCAGCAACCCTTTCAAGCGTCCAGACCTCCCCGGCCCGCCTGCGATTACTTCGAAATTGAGTTTGTCGTGGGGGCAATCTCATTTCTGTCTCTGAGCCGATCCCTACTCCCAGGTTGGGAGGCTCGGAGTTTCCCCAGGTCCTGCCACGCTGGAACCCCACGATCTGGAGTGGAGGTCCCTCTAGTGGTCATCGTCAAACAAAAACGCTGGTGCACAGTCGAGAACAGCTGGCAACAGGCAACACTTCTCCGTGCCCTTTTCGGAAACGGTAGGCCCCGGAAAAGCTTTTGCAAGTCCGATCGCAGGAATGGACTCTACAATAGAATCAACAGCACTAGACGCTGCAGAATAAGCTTAACATAGAGCCTGCAAGTGTGTCCCGAGTCCCCTTTGGTTGTACTGCTAAGTTGTTGCCCCCACTTGGGCCTCCAAGGACTGGCACCTCAGTTAAACTAATTAAAATCCCTGTGGGCCAATTAAAAATAATAATGAATAAAATGAAATTTTAAATAATTCTTTTTAAAAATTCCTGTGGGCCTCTGGTGGGAGCGACACCAGGGACTCTGGCATAGTCCTCAGCTCTGGCATGAGTCACCTCAGCCCTGGCCTCCAGCATTTACAGGCTGGCCGGTTGACAAACTCCACAGGGCACATCTCTTTCAAACCAGATTTACCCTGTTGGTTTGAAATTACCAGTGTGCCCAGGAAACTTTCACATGTGAACAAAACTTAAGCCACGGCTGCAAATAGAAGATATGGGGTCACTGTAGGCACCTGGCCAGCAGCGGAGCAAGGGCACAGCCAGCAGAGGAAAGCTGGGGCCAGTGAGAATTGTGTTACAACAGGACACCCTTCAGTTCTCTTTCATTTCCTTAAAATAGCAGCAGGGAGGCTTTAGTAGACCCAGACTGCCAGGTTCACATGAGTTCATGGGTGTTTCCAGATCCCACACATTATCATCCCAGGAAACCCACTGCTCTAATCCCAGCCCCCCCAAAATGCTACACTGTTCTTAGAACTATACATTACTTTTTTAAAAGAATTTAATTTAATTTATTACTACTATTTTTTTTTTAATTCACCAGAGAGGGAAAGTGAGAAAGCAAGCCACCATGTCCAGGAATGGAACCATGATCAGCCATGTGGAAGTCCAATGCCTTAACCACCACACCATCTGCTGGCCCCATATACATTACTTTTTTGAACTTTGTTAAACATTGGCTCCTAAGTATATTTGTACTTTAGAACCACCTTGGATAGGGAGCTTAAAAATAATGGTACCAGGGGCCAGAGAGGACAGCAGTTTAAAAAAAAAAAAAAAAAAAAGAAGTCACGGGCCGACAAGTGGTGTGGTTTAGGGCACTGGACTCCCACGTGGTCGACCACAGTTGAGTGCCAGACCTGGTGGCTTGCTTTCTCACTTTCCCTCTCTCTTTCTCGCTTTCTCATTCTGTCCCTTTCTGGTCAAATGAAAATAAATAAAGTTAAATAAAATAATTATATATATAAAAAGTCACTCCGCAAGGCAATCCCACATCATATGGTTCCTGGTTCAAGTCCAGAGACCTTCCTGGGTATGTGGGCTGTGCACTTGCCCATGATCTGGGGCTGGCTAAAGGTTGGGGATGAATTTTGGCATTGAGACCCTGTTAGGGTGCTGTCTGTCAGTGTCGATCTCTCTCTCTCTCAATCTATCTCTCTCAACCATAGAAGAAAGAAAAAGCAAAAAACCCCTGATGTCTGGGCCTCACCCCAGAAGTTCTGATTTAATGGTCTAGGGATATCCTCGGGGCATGAGATCTTGAAATGTTTCCCAGGTAATTCTTGCATGTAGCTAAGTTTAAGAACCACTTGTTTGGGTCAATTCTTAAACACAAGAGTCTCCTGAGTTGAAAAGTTCCATTTTAAAAAAGCCTAAGACAGTCCCAGGCCTGCAGGCTGTCCTGCCCTGACTCCCAGGAAACAGAGTAGCATGTTAGCAGTGGCTTCCTGTAGAAAATGTCTTGACCCAAAAGAATGATTCTGTTAGGTTGATGGGAAAGTCGTGATGCATTTTCACATAGAAAAATACAAATGTGACCCAATAGCTGCAGGGATTTAAGGGATGAAGGTGAGTGGCTAGGGTCAGGAGTACTCTGCTGAACTGTCAAATCAAAGCATAATCCCAGACAGCATATTACAGGGAACCTCTCCTCTGTGTCCCTAGAACTTCATGCCAATGACTTTTTCCTGTTATAATTTCACCCTCCCTGTAAGACAGGCCACATTCCCCATATCAATGTAAGAGGCATAGTCTCCTTTGATTATACTGGTAGGTTGTTGTCCCCACCTAGGCCTCCAAGGACTGGCAGCTCAGTTCAGCTGATTAAAGTCCCTATGGGCAGGGCCGGCAGGTGGTGTGGTGGTTAAGGGCTCTAGACTCCCCACATGGCTGACCATGGTTCAAGACCCGGACCTGACAGCTTGCTCTCTCACTTTCTCTCTCTCTCTTTCTCACTCCCTCGTGCTATTTCTCTCTGGCCAAATTTAAATAAATAAATAAAATTGAATAAAATAATTCTTTTTAAAAAAAAATCCTAGGGGGCAGCAGGTGGCATGGTGTTTTAGAGTGCTAGACTCCCACATGGCTGACCATGATTCAAGTCCTGGGCCTGGAGGCCTGCTTTCTCACTTTCCCTTTCCCTCTCTCTTGCTCACTCTGTCCCACTCTGGTCAAATTAAAAGAAATAAATAAGGATAAATAAAATAATTTTTTAAAAATAAATATATAAAATTCCTGTGAGCCAATTAAAAATAGTAATACTAATAGGGAATAAAATAACATTTAAATAATTCTTTTAAAAAACAAATCTGTGTGCCCCTCTGGGAGCAGCAAGAACCCATGGAGTAGTTAATATCACCATATACCTCATGCCACTCAGAATTTGGGCTCTTTGTACCCCTCCGTTAGAACTGTGGTTAATTAGGCTGTACCCATGGGTAGGATAATTCATTCTGCTAAAGAGCTACTCAAATACTATGGGGGAGAAATCTCTGCCACCTAGGGTCCCAGCCGGGGCTTGGCAGAGAAGGGAAAACAGCTGCAAGCACACAAAGCAAACCCTCTCACGTGATCAACCTGGAACGACAGAGGCCTCAGCACATGACATAACACAGGCTGCCACTGTAGCCTGCACTTGTGACCCGAACTCAGCTGAGCTGGGCAAACGCGTGGGAAACACTTTGAAGAAGCCCCTTTCGAGAGGCACGCTGCCCTCTGGGCCACACGGCACGCCTGCTGTGCAGAGTCGCAGGCCTGCTATCTGGCTCCTATCCAGATCTGGGAATATTTACGAAGGCCGCAGTGCACTGGGGATGTTCACAGTAAACCCAATACAGGCAGCCCTCCCAGAAAGCTTTTATGCCCAGGGTATGTAGGCAAATATAACCTGAAGAGGTTATTTGCATAGTGTCACTTTTATTGTACTCAAAGCAAGAAGAGAGAAGCAGAGGACAGGAAGACAAGGTGAGGCCTGAGGTGGGTTCCAACTTTAGGCTGGTTTTCTGGAGGAAGCAGCTTTTGAAAGCCTGGAGGAAGGTCTTGTGCAGACATGAAAACTGACTAAAGAGGGAGATGATTAGTTTTTAGGCAAAAATGATGAACACACTGACTATAAAGGCTGGGTGAACAAACGTACATATTTGACTCTTGGGCCATGAAAAACATGATGGTTATTTGCCAGCTCCAGCTTTCACTCTGGACTTGTGTTACTGTGGATGACTCACCTAAACGCTCCTCATCTCCAGCACGGAGACAGGAAAGATTTGCAGTGCTATCTGGGAGGGCAGAGGAGAATTCAATGATAGGAAAACACTTTGTAACTGGGGAGTGGGATTCAAATGTGTATGTCTTTGCTCTTTTATTACATCTGCCTAGTTTGATGGAAGATCCAAAGAAAATAGAGATTAAACATTAATGTGAAGTAGGACTTTTGTTGGGCTATGAAAATGAAAAAATAATATTACCAGGCACCCGAGAAATGAGGGAGAGCTTAAACAAAGGAGGAGAGGAAGTTTAGAGAGTGTTAGAGGGTGGTATATGATTCCGATTTGGGGGGGAAAGAGAGGAGAGTCAGGAAATGCTGGGAGCAGCGAAAGGCTGGAAGTCAGCTGGATCTGTGGTAGTCCTGGAGAGCCGAGGTTTGGAGGACTAATAGATGTTGCAAACTTCCAACCGATGGACTCTTATCTAAGCTCTTGAACAATATCAAAGGCAATGACCTCGGCGAAAGGGTGCATATCTATTGCCATGTCTAGACCCTGTCCCTGGGAGTGATTACCGGGATACTAGACTGTGAAAGAGCTGAGGCCTCAGTGTCCCGGAGAGCAGCTGTCCAATCACGGAGCTATCTCTCCTGCCTGTGATGTATCACTCCACGGGCAGCTTTCTCTTTGTCTGGAGTTTGTAAATGATCTGGTTTCCTTCATTCCAGGCATAGAGCTGCTTATCTCTGGGGTTGTAATGAATCATGGAGTGACTTCTTGGCCTCTTAGGGAAGAATAAGTTGGGCAGGTCATTCTCATTGATAGTACCCAGCGGATCATAGACACAGGTGATGCGGTGAAGGTCCTGACCACCAGTATTGTAAACCACGTAAAGAACCCCACACAAGAGGAACGAGGCTTCAGCATCCTGGCTTCTGCATGGAGTGTCCCACGAGTGCTCCACGCCCAGTGTGTCAGGCTCAATTTTCGTGAGAACCAAATGGCTGTGGGAGTCTGGCCCTGAGTGGATGGCCCAGAGCCCATGTTCATCCACAGCCAGGTCAATGTAGGTTGAAGAGTGCTGGTAGGCCAGGGCTCGGCCTGCTCCTCCTGGGAGCAGCATGCGGTCTTCCACGGTTCTCTTCTGCAGATTATATTTGATGATCTCACTAGAAGTCCCTTGGTTGTGAAAAAATAGAAAACCTTTGTAGATGACTTGGCCTGTTCCCTGCCAGGAAACTGTTAGGATTAGCTTCCGGCCGGCTAGCTTGGTGCTATCCTCCATAAACGCCCGCAAGTTTGCAAATTCCCAAACCGTGTTGTTTCTGGATCCAATTAAGAAATACACCTTTGGAGAGGCGCTGGCAGCATCTTTCATCCAAGAGCCATCTGTGTCCATAGTCTTCTTCACTATTTTCAGAGACTTTATTCCCATCAGCATGTTGTCGCAGCCTGGCCAAACAAGAGAACAAAAGAGAACCTACTTTAAAAACGTGAGATACTTCTTTCGCAAGGCTCACCATGCCTGGTAAAACCTGTTTCCTTTCAGCTCTTGGTAAAGAATATTCTCAATTCTGCTGTGAAATAATGGTCATTAAGAGAAGACTTTCCAGGCCACCAGGTGGTGTGGTGGTTAAGGCGCTGGACATTCCCACATGGCCAACCATGGTTTGAATCCTGGACCTGGTAGTTTGTTTTCTCACTTTCCTTCTCTCTGTGTGTCTGTTTTCTCTGGTCAAATTAAAATAAATGAATGAATAAATAATAAAATAAAATAATTAATATTTTAAAAAGAGAGAAGACTTTCCTTAAAAAATCATATGAAGCCCTATTCTCTGGGGCCAGCAGGTGGCATGGTGGTTAAGGACACTGAGCTCCCACATGGCCAACCATGGTTCAAGTCCCAGACCTGGCGACTTGCTTTCTCTCTCTAGCTCTCACTCTCACTCTGTCCCTCTCGGATAAAATTAAAAATAAATGAGTAAATAAAGTTAAATAAAATAATTCTGAAAAAAAAAAAAGAAAAATCATAGAGTAAAAATGCTACCTAGGTATACATTTTCTTAAGAATGAGGGTTTTATTTTTTAAAGTTTTTGCCATAGGGTACATGCATTTGCCAGAGAAAGACAGAGAGGGCCAATGAGAGACAGTGAGAGGGAAAGTAAGAAATCACCCTCCAGGGAGGATGGCCATGCTGCAATCCTACTCCTCCATTCTCCTTGGGATTTGGGGCTGCATGCACACATGCTCAGCATGATTCTCAAGCCAACAAGTCCAGAATTCAAACTTCAGTCAGCCACGTGGGGGTCCACTGCCTTAACCATTATGCCATCTAGTGGCCCCAGAGAATAGGGCTTTTAAATCCCAGCAGTCAGGCACACTCATTCTCTTACTTCCTTATTCTCATAGATGTGATTTTTTCCCTTAGAGTCTGGAATAAAGTGAGTACACATAGATAAGTTATAATCTGTGATATGACTCAATAACCAAAGAAAAAATGGGTCCCTATTCAGAGTTATGAGGCAGCATTTAATTCACTTCAGGATATACAAAGCTATTTGCTGTGTCAAAGACCCAACTCAGTATCTAGAGCAATTAGGATTGACACGGTAAGAATGACTTGGTATGGGGCAAGCAGGTGGCATGGTGGTTAAGGAACTAGCTTTCTTTATTTTTTTAAAAAAGAATTATTTTATTTTATTTATTTATTTATTTATTTATTTAAATTTGACCAGAGAAAGAGAGTGTTAAAGCAAGCCACCAGGTCTGGGACTTGAACCATGGTTGACCATGTGGGAGTCCAGTACCCCAACCACCATACCACCTGCCAGTCCCAAGGCACTGGCCTTTCACATGGCTGACCACAGTTGGAGTTCCAGACCAAGTGGCTTGCTCTCTCTCTGTCTCTAGTGAGTACATGTGTCCTATAGCAAACTAAAAATAATAACAATAAGTAAAATCAAATAATAATTTTTAAATGACTTAGGTATAAAGCCAACTAATTCAACCCCATTTGCCAAGGTTTTATTGAGTATCTACTGTATACTTAGTTTACAATGCTCCAGGAACAGTGCTAAATATTAAAGATTTTAAAAAGTAGGGACCAGCAGGTGGTGTGGTGGTTAAGGGCGCTGGACTCCTACATGGCCTACTGCAGTTCAAATCCCGGACCTGGTGACTTGCTTTCTCACTTTTCCTCTCTTCCCTTCTTTCTCTCTCACTCTGTCCCTCTCTAGTCAAATTTTAAATTAATTAATTAAGTTAAATTTAAAAATTATTAAAAAAAACAGTAATGTCAACTCAAAACCTCAAGGAGATTGCCTTCTAGTGGAAGAGTCTACTCCTTAATACAACAGTACAGAAGCGCTGCTCACCCATTCATGAATGTATGAATGCAATAAGTCAACAGGCACTGGGTACCTATAAAGGCAGGATACCGGACTTGATATTATGAGATAGGGGTGCCATGGGCAGGGGTGCAGTAATAAATTAGGCCTGGTCCTGTCTTTTTTGGTACATGACTAACTAGACTATAGAGCTTAAAGTAGAATTTTTATGAAAAGACAAAAGAGTTGTTGTGTGTGTGTGTGGGGGGGTGGATAATCTACATTTGAACTGGCCCTTAAAGAATGAATGGAGTCAGACTTTCACTTTCTATGGCAAGACAGTTTCCATAGTTCCTCCTCCTTGAAGATCTCTTCGCTCTTGACTTTTGTGTCGTCACTGTCTGTGTGTGCCTCCTCTAGTCCCCTGTGGCCAGGACAATGCTCTGTGTTTACTCAATGCCATTTCATTTTCCTCTTTCTCCTTAAACTGCCTTGTTACACTGCATGCAGTCTCCTTTGAGTTAGGCTGCAGCCATGGACCTGTGTTCTGCCCCGCGGTTCGTGGATGGAAGTGGTGTAAGCCATTTCCACCTGGCCTTCACGTATGCTATTTTCCAGATGTCAGTGTCTTAGAATTCTCACAGTGAACCAGTTCAAGAGAGATATGGCTACAGATGAGATCAGCCCTCCTGGTCCCTTCAGGAAAAGTGGGTCATTGGTTCTAATTTTGACCTTTTGTGGGGATTGCTCTGTTGAGCTGTCTAATGAGGTGAGCGGTGTCATCAAGACAGAAAGTGGTGGCCTAACTAGAAGTATGAGGAACACTATGGGCTTCCCTCACATCCTGCTGAGGTCTGTATCCTGGGAACCCTCACTGCAGGGTATGAGGTGGTGGAATGATAGTCAGAGGAGAACAGAGCACGCTGAGGGCCTCCCTCATATTATTGCAAAGGCTTTGGTATACAAAAGTGGATGTGCCATAAGGTTGTCAGGTTAATAAACCCTTGGATTCTTGGGGCCAGATGGTGACGCAGTGGAAAAACACCACTCTCTGCAAGGCTAGCCCACAAGGAAGGTTCTGGGTTCCTATCAAAAGACCTCTCTGAGGAGCCTGGGCACATACCTGATATCCAGGGCTGGCCAGGGACGGATTGCAGCAATAAGACCCCATTGAAGGTTCTCTCTCCTTCTCTCTCCCCCTCTCAGAAAAAAATAAATAAAATAAACTTAAAAATAAAATGTGGGGCTAGCAGGTGACGTGGTAGTTAAGGTGCTAGATTCCCACATGGCCCACTGCAGTTTAAGCCCTGGACCTGCTAGCTTGAAAAATCACATTGGACACATATGCATGCGTGTCCAAATTCCCAAAGTTGGAGAATGGAGGAGAAGGGATTGTGGCCTGGGCATCCCCCCGGGAGTGATTTCTCACTTAGTTTTTAAACTTTACTATAGGGCACGTGAGACACACACACACAGAGAGAGAGAGAGAGAGAGAGAGAGAGAGAGAGAGAGAGAAAGTGAAAAAGCAAGCTGCCAAATCCAGACTGTAAACCAGTCAACTCTGTGGGAGTCTAGTGCCTTAATCACCATGCCACCTGCTGGCCCCAACAGCAAACTTCTCATTAAAGCAAGTTGTTTGGGTCGCAATCCTACCTCATTTCCTTAACCAATTCAACACCCACTATTACACTTTCTTTCTCTTCAAGCCTCCATCATACCCTCCTCACTCTTACATGAAGATCCTACCTCTTATTCGAGAAAACAGAAACAAGCAGAAAAGAACTACATTGTTTTCTGCCTGGATTATTGCAATGGTCTCCTACATGGATCAGTTCAAAATTCTGCTTCTGCTCTGAAAAAATTTCTTATCTCCCATACTCAGAGCAGCAAATGAATCCCTTTTTTAAAAAAACGAGGCTTTTGCCTGTTTGCCCAGAGAGAGAAAGAGACAGAGACAATGAGAGGGAAAGTAAGAAATCACCCCCCAGGGGGATGGCCACGCCACAATCCTTCCTCCTCCACTCTCCTCTTGGGATCTTGGGCATGCACGCACACACTCCCAGCATGATTTTGAGTCCAACTGCAGTCAGGCATGCTGGTCCCATGCATCCCTTTAAAATGAAAGACCACATAACACATCTGCTCTAGACCCTCCCATGGATCCCTCTTTTACTCAGAATAAAGCTCGTCTTTATCTACAAAGTCAAATGCAAGCCTCTATGCTTTCATCTTTACCACTCACCCACCTCATTAATTTTGCTCAACCACACTCCTAGAATCATCTATGATAGCACCTCTCTTACCTCCTTGAGATGACTCATCATGCTCTTATTTTATCAGCCCGATTTACTTACTCATTGTTCATCTCCTCCACTAGATTCCACTCCTTTGTCTTTGAGTTTAGTGTTGTACTCTTTTTTTTTTATTATTATTAAGGTTTTTGTTATAGGGCACATACACTCACCGGAGAGAGACAGAGGGAGACAGTGAGAGGGAAAGAAATCACCCCCAGGATGGATGGCTAAGCCACAATCCCTTCTTCATTCTCCTCCTGGGATTTCAGGCTGCACACACACGTGCTTGGTGTGAGTTTCAAGTCTCCAGGTCCAGGACTTGAACCATAGTTGGCTATGTGGGAGTCCAACACCTTAACCACCACATCACCTCATGGCCCCTTAGTGTTGATTCTAATGCCTAACTCAGTGCTCTGGGGGTTCCATAAATGGTTGTTGCATGAATGAGGAAAATAGTTTCATTGGGACCTGTAGGTAGAATGGTGGCTAAGGCACGGAACTTCTACATGGCCAACTGCAGTTCAAGTCCTGGACCCAGAAGCTTGAAAATCACTCCATGTGCATGTGTGTGTGTGCTCAAAATCCTGAGAGGAGATTGGAGGAGAAAGGATTGTGACATGGCCAATACCCTGGGGACTGATTTCTCACTTTCCCTCTCACTGTCTCTCTGGCAAGCACACAAGCCCTATGGTGATACAATATAAAAATAAAAAGACAATAGCTTCATTTAGCAGATACTTTTCTAAAGCCTAAATAGTGCTGCACATCTGGAGTTTGGACCACAGGCCCATTTTTTTTTTCTTTTTCTTTTTTAGAGGGATTTTTGCTATA